TTGATATCATGTACTTCACGTCAGATGGAGTGACGTCTACTTTAGGTAAAATACACGTACACTTTGGTGACGTAAATATAGGAACGTACATTTTACGTAAACGTGATGTCATTTTCATTGCAATCGCAATAAATTTATATTGCAAAAAATAGATATCTTATTTACGTGAACATGCTGCTTGGGGGCTCTTCCCTTATCCCGTGCACTGCTGTAAAACAAGTTTAGCTTCAGCATTGAATGATTACCTACGCCATATATATTTTTTAAATATGTAATAATTTCCTGCTTCCCATATATATATATTAATGGATTACATAATAAAAAGTGAAAAGGATGGTGAGAAAACCTAAAACTATATCGGAAAGCCAGTATTTAATAGCATTTGTAGGGTGCAGGGAACAAGGGTTCCATCTACTGAGGAATCGTGGTATTGCAACTGCGATGGTCAGCTAAAGTTTCATATGGAAATTGTGATGTTAACTTTGTATAAAAATGATGTGATGTACTTCACGTCAGATGGAGTGACGTCTACTTTAGGTAAAATACACGGACATTTGGTGACGTAAATATAGGAACGTCAATTTTACGTAAACATGATGTCATTTTCATGGCAATCGCAAGAAATTTACATTATAAAAATTGATATGTTTACGTAAACATGCTGCTTCGGAAACTCGCTATGGACGCGCCTTCAGCGCTCTTCGATCTAAGGCATCCGTTTTCTATGCTCGTTTCTACTAATGCGGTCAAACTCCTTTGATCATGAGTACAATTCTCGCGCTATAAAATGAAGGTGTCTTCGAACTTTTATTCTTAGTGACGTCATGCCACTTGTAGCATGAGGGTCACCAAGTAACAATTCTAAGTATGTCGTTTATTATTCCATTAGTGTATTCAATTCCTGCCTATGGTCGACACACTTTTGATAGCATATCGATCTCCAAAAAAGTAGAAGTAATAGCAGTCATATGAACTACATAAGGCACTTGAGAGTTTTAACTCAATAATTATTTATAGACTATGTTCATTGTATAGGGAGTTCTTTCATTATCTTCATATCAAGGACTCTATGGGAGTCCATTTGTCAAACTCTTCTAAAGTTTCCATACAGTTGTCTATGAAAAAAACGCGTCATTCCGTAAATGCAGCCCAAAGATATACCTTCCCGTTTCGTAGAAGGGTGTATGCATTGGCCTAAGCGTCCGTAAGTGGATTAGACGTAGCCATCTTATGTCGAAATGTCGATCGATTTTTTGTGGCAGGGAAAATGTAGATGTTCACATCTTCTATAGTTTCCCTGCCACAAAAAAAAAATAAATAGAACCGATTTGCATTTGCCAAGGTACCGGTACGCGTGAATTCGTGTCCTTCTATTCACCAATGACCCAACGGCATAGGACCAAGGTCTAGAGCGTCACGCCAAGGCAGAAGGATTCTCTGTCAGATGGACCAAGAAGTTCCTCCATGCGATTGGGTCGGGCAAAATTGGTGTAGGCCTCCGCGTTTGTCAAGGATTACTTATTAGCCTGCTACCTCAGTCCCTTCAGGGCACGTACAATGTCGAACTTCATCTGTAGTATGGAATAACACAGCTTCTTCTTATCCCTCCCGTTTTCCTGAAGGAAAAATATGTGTGAGAGTGGTATTAGCCTAAGCATCCATCCATGGGTTAGGCCTAAGCCTGCAAAATCTGCCCCTACCTCCCTGAAACGTGCCCTAGGCATGGACCCCCAAAATTGGGCATTCGAAGTTGGACTTTCTCGGGAGTAGACAACCTAGCAGCAATTCATGTTCCTTCCGTTTTATTGAAGGAAGGGTGTGCCTGAGAAAGGCATATGCCTAAACCTCCGTCTGAGGATTAGACCTAGGCTTGCAAAATGAAACCCCCCCAGCAATGAGCCCCAAGGACAATTACCCCCAAAGTTGCAATTTTTCTGGAGTCTGCATTCTAACAGTTATTTTATGTACTACGTTTCAGCCTCTCATCATGTCTAGAACATGGTTAGAATTAGTGTCAGTCAGTCAATCGCCATCGTCCATATATATTAGATGTATCATTTGGATTTTTTCTTCCCCACATGTCGAAAATGAAAGTCAAATATCCCAATTTTCATGATTTTAGCGAACGTTGACGTCATTTTTTACGAGGTGGGGATCCTGATAAAAAAATATGGCTCATATGTCAAATGAGGGAGCATTCCAATTTCTATTCAACATGCGTTTCGTTTTGGTACAGTTACGCATCAATATATTATGCATTTTCTAATGTTGGTCGGTTTTGGCCTTGGCGCAGTTCAATATCATCTCCTTTGACATCTTCTTTCTGTTATTTACTTCTGTTTTTTACTTTCTGTTATTTTCATGATTTGACAGCGTTCTTACAATGGTATTTCCTTTCGGTTAAACTAATTTGCACGGAGACTTATTGCCCCTTTAATAGCATTACCATTGCTTCATATAATTTCATCCATTTAAGCATTGCGTTCATCAGTTTCTACTTTCATAGACAGTCAACATTTTATTATCATATGTTGGAGGTTTACTAGTGCAAATGATGTTGGTCTCTGTTCAACTTTCCTGCGATAAATATTCCCGCCAACCCACTATTGCACCGTGTGCAGGATTCCTACATTGTTACTGGGATGTAGGCAGGGCCAAGTTCTATCACATTCTATCACGTTGCATGCAGATTGCTCCGAGCGCTCTTGGGGTCTCATCTACGAAGGTCGCGCGACGGTGAAGGAACAAAAATTGCCTCGTGTGCGGCGGGCATAGCATTCCCAGAGTCTGGAGACAACCTCATATTCAGCTTGTGTCCATCCTCAATACTCAACCTTTCCACTCTAACTTGATGGTTACCAATTATATTAACTTTTACTGTCGTCGACTGCAGGAGACACGGAGAAGGACGCCCTACTGGCGGTGGGCCTGAGCAAGTCCTTTAAAGTCTTCGTTGCCGTGGATCGCTTGAACATCGGGGTCCATCGCGGCGAGTGCTTCGGGTTGCTGGGTGTGAACGGGGCGGGGAAGACGACGACGTTTAAAATGCTGACCGGAGCGGAGGTCATTACCTCGGGCGGGTCTTGCATCTTCGGATATAACCTTGGCGTGAATCGCAGAAAGGTTGCAACATTTTCATTCACATGTTCTCGTATAATATTATGGTTTGGCGTGTCTGAAACATGAAGGTGTCTCTGCAGTACCTGTCTCAAGTGGGCTATTGCCCTCAAGTCGATCCTCTGGTGAATGTGATGACCGCAAAGGAGACCCTGCTGATGTATGCCCGACTTCGAGGTATTCCGGAATCCGTCGCTGAACAACACGTCGACTCCCTCATTGACCAACTTGGTATGCACGCTTATCGAATCGAATTATAATGCGATATCAAATCGTCGTGGCATCTGATCTGAATGGTGCCAACAGACTTCGGAATTAGTCCTGATAATACGAAAGAATTTGACATTTTTCATTCCCTTGATTGTCGGGTTATATTTGAGCAGGACTAACGGAGTACAAGGACAAGCACTGCGAGACATACAGCGGAGGAAACAAGCGGAAACTGAGTACAGCCATCGCCATGGGGGGGGGGGGGGAGCCGCCTCTGCTGCTCCTGCACGAGCCAACCTTAGGCGTGGATCCCGTCTCCAGGCGCAAGATCTGGAATGCCCTTCTTGACTGCACCAACAATGGACAGAGCATCTTGCTCACCTCCCATAGGTACTTGTCGGCTCGTTCACTCTATGCTTTGAAGACCTTTAATATGAACTGAATCACTTCTAATCTTTCCTTAGGAGGTCAATATTGAAAAATGTTTTTTAGCTCCTGCAGTTTACGGCTAATGGAGGCTGCTGAAATAAATTATTACCCTTGCAGTTTCTTTCCGTACTGTTGCCTTCATATTGTAGAATGTCACCCTTTCCGAATCATCCTATTCGTGATAGGAAATTAAAAGGAATTCAGGATTTTTTTTTAATTCACTTCTAGAAGGCCCTTCTACTCACTCTTCAGCAGCATTTTCCTAACGAATTAGAAATACATGCAAAAAGACCCTATGATTAAAGAAAAATTCAAGCTCTCTGTAAAACTGAAATTTTCTTGCCATTGAACGGTTTCCATTCTAAGGGTTACTTGAGCACCTTTGAAACTGTTGTTAGCATGGAGGAATGCGAGTACTTATGTCACCGAGTCGGGATCATGGTGAACGGGCGGTTCCGCTGCCTGGGTAGCCCACAGTACCTCAAGGACAAGTACTGTCAGGGGTATACCATCAAGGTGAAGACGAGGATGTCTGCGTCGGCAGAGAAGCTGGAAGAGCTCAAAGCTTTCCTCGTTCAAACCTTTGGAGGATCCTTCCTTCGTGACGAATATATAGTGGGTTTATAGGATATAATTATATTATCGATTATTTCATGTTATTTCTCCTTATTAGAATGTGGTTAGAATTATTATTATCGTATTAATTAGTATTAGAATCGGGTAACTTATTGCTAGGAAGAAAACTATGTTCTTGAACAATTGCAATAACAGTACAACAGATCAATCAGTCCGGAAATTATGGGTTTAAAAATGGATGTGGGATGGAGATATTCCGAGTGACGGGGATTTGTTTTCCAGGAACTAAAACGATATCCCTCGCTGCATTCCGTCTGGAATAAAGTAAAAATTCACTTTTGAAGTGAATTTCGAAAGCAATTCTAACGGTGAAATAGAGTAGAGCTGGTAGCTGATCGTGAAAGGATTTGCAGATTTGATGGAGGGTGACAGATTTTTGAACGACTCTTGGAGGTTGGAGTGATTGGCAGCGATTCTATCTCCTTCCCAGGGAAGGCTGAACTTCCTAGTGGAACGCCGGGATGTGAACTGGGCCCAGCTCTTCTCGACTGTGAGGGAGATAAAGACGAGATTCGAAGACGTGGTCGAGGATTCTCTCGTCGGGGAAACGAGTCTGGAGGATGTTTTCCTTTCCTTCACCAATGAGCAGGTTCAGCAGAGGCCGAAGGTCAAATGCCGTCTCTGCCTTTGCTGCGGCAATTCCCAGTGATAACCGACTGCAAAAAAAAAATTTGTGGACTTTTTACCTTTCTCATTCGTCCGCCCTGGTATTCTTATTGCATATGGTATGATTTAAAAACGTGCGGTCTGTCTCCGATTTTGAAGCTGTGGTACCCTCCGGCATGAATTCAGATCGAAGATTATAAGATGATTATTATTATTAAAATAGCATTGATTGCTACACGAAATTGCATTTTGTTGTATTTCACTGTCCGTTAGCGCTCTAGCGGCCAAGCGACCTGCAACCATTCAAACGGGTGTAGGGCGTTGTATCCGGTCGAGGAACCCTCAACGAGTCAATATAGAGTGCATAAGTTCGAACGATTTGGAGCTCATAACATGAGATTTTCCCAATGAACACTCATATCTACGAACAAAAATGGGTCCCAAGGTCATAACAATTTTGTAACTCATGCTAAACAAAAATTACCATAAAATGACCTCTTTTCTCTCTTTGCAACCCTTTGTAGCTGATTATATTGTAAGAGAAGTTAATTGTTCGTAAATACTCAGGATCAGGTATTTTCGATTTTTCTGAATAGCAGTCGGGATTATTGTCTGCCAACTACATTGCCGGATCGACGTAAGAAACATTTCATTTCAACATTTGAGAAGGAGCATTCAGCTCTGACAACTCTGGACGATGAGGAAACCTTTGTGATTGGTTGGAAGGAATTTTAGAGGATAGAGATTGCCGTCTGAAGCCTCGCATTCATGGTCAGCACTCGTCGAATCGGTCTTCCTATCCTTTTCCATACGTTAGGTTTCGAAAAAGGTACGTAAAGATATGAAAATCGCGCTTCGCGTTTCGCTTTTCGTACGTTAGCAATGAAATCGGATGTTAAGTTTTGTGAAAAGTTTGCAGAGTTTTGGGATTTCTCAAATAGTTTTGAAAACGGAAGTATAGTTTCCAGAAACGGACGTTAGCAATTGGGAATAACTGTAACATGTCTCAAACATAGCCTCAGTGTTAACCCTTCACGCCGGTCATTAAACAAGGCAGAACATTCTCTGCGGCGGTAACACATCCTTGAGATGTCATAGAAGTGCAATGCCATACCGTCACTGTCACGTCTTTCCGCCGGAGTAGATGCAAGTATACCGCAGCGGACGTCACAGTGACGTCGAACACACTTGTAGGGTTAATGTTATACCTATCATATAAGGCGCGAATTACATCAGAGTATTTCCATGATTAATGTTGCTTCATCGGTTGAATCACCTGTTGAAATTTTTTTTCCGGGGACAGAAATTTCTGCTATCCATGAATATTTCTGGTATAGGAACCAATGGCACCGCTCTGCCATTACAGCTCCTTCCATCAAAACTAGCTCCTCCAGCTTTTACCGTTAGAATGATCTCATCCAGCTTCTAATGTAAAATTAGTTCCTCTTTTAAAATTGGCTCCTCCAGTTCCTACACTTTGCTCCTCTAGCAAATCCTATCCTTTTTACCCTACTTTCCAAGACTTATAAGAGATTCGCGCATGAGTATTGATGTGTGACACTGCGCATCGTCCTGTTGGAGGACCAACATGCACTTCCATAAAAATGTACATCTCCTACATGGATTTGAAACCAAGTTGTTGTACCTCCATGCGTATTTCCACCTAATGCAATGTCAACCCAGGAGGAAATACACTCGGGAGGGAAAGTCCACCTGACTCGAAACAGATGTGCGCGAAGGGCTAGGTAGATTTGAGTTGGGTGGGACGTCCACCTGGTTCTAAATCGCCCTCTATCCACCTAGTTCAGCGGTTCTCAGACTTCTTTGAACCACGACCCACTTGCTCACGCCAAAAAGTTCGCCACCCACCGCAATCCAGGCGGTGGGTGGCGAGTGGGTGGCGAACGATCTCCGACTCGCCTTTCCCAAGGCGAGTCGGAGATCGTTCTCCACTTGCAGCCGCGAAAGAAACTTTTCTTCATTTTTTATTGAAGTCAGAGCAGAGAATTCTGTTTCACACAGATATATGATAGCGAAAGGTAGCAACGCCCGTGTCGCCTTCACGAGAAAGGGGTTATTCTTTGAATTGAGAGTAAGATGAAAATAGAAGGGAGGAAGGGGACGCCCGCAGGTATCAATGGAAGTGTGCAAGGGCCGAGATAAACCCATTACTCAGTATTGGCAAATGCGGATTTTGCTTTTTATCATGAGAAACATTTCGCAACCCACAGTTTGGGAACCGCTGACCTAGTTGTTCAGCCTGGTGGATGCAGATGGTCGCTTTGCAAGTGCTGTCTGAAGAGTTCTGACGTGTGACAGCAGTGATGAGCTGAGAGACAACGTTCTGTAGAATGTGGCATTGACTGTTTCTCCCTGGAAAACAAATTCCTGGTGGACAAAACCCGGGCATCAAAGGAAACAATGAGCATCGAATTGCCGCGGTACATATCTCCTCGCAGTTATCTCGGAGCATAGAAAAAACCGGGACGATGAGCCCGGAATAAAAGCGAGATAGAAGCCGACGAGATCCCAGCAGTCTCACTTCTCCAAACGTCTCACGCGTATCGCAGCCAGGTGAGTGAGGTCAGCGCTCTCATTCAGTTGGTATCAGTCTGGTATATTTCTTTGCAAACTTCCTTCTGAGCAAATGAAAAGGCTTGAATTGTATATATATAAAAAAGAAGCATACCTGCAAAAAGTTTATTTTATGATTGCGTTTTTATTTATATATTTATTCAGTATCTATCAATAGTTTGATTTATGTAAGGATGAAGACAGCACCTGTAAATTATGAACTCAAGTGAAACCATGGCTTTCAGTCCCACGTATAACAGTGGGACATTCAGGCACATGACACCTTTAACTAGCGTTGATGATGTTGGCAGTAATGCAAATACTTTTCCTTGGCGCCACCGTCTCAGACATGTTACATCCATGTTACACCCAAATGCTCCACTTGTTACATCCATGATGTCGTCCACGCCCAGCAGTGCGAAAATGGACAACGCGGTGTCATGGACTTTATCGCGATGGAAGAGGCGAATCAATGACAAGTGTAAATTGAGTGAATTACGCCGTTCCGTCGAGAAAAGATACGAAAAATCGTAACCCGGCATTCGATAAACAGCGAGAGTGTGCGCGAAATGCTTCAAGCACTTGATATTTCTGAAAGTGTCACTATGGTGGTTATCTAAAACAAGCGTCAGCTGGTGTCCTTCAGGGGATCAAAGGCCAACATAAATACTTGTATTCTGCAGTTATCTAGGCACTCGTGAAGCGACGATATAAGTGAGACGAGGAAATCGGTAACTCTGAGAAAAAGGCGACCTTTCCTGCATTCAACTTATTATTTTATATCACAGCTCAGAAAGTCTGGTTTTTCCTGGCAGTGCGGTTGAAGTACCGAAAGTCCGTTATGTTGGATTTTAGTGCTCCCAAACCAAAAAGTAATCAGTTCAACAATTGCAGAGCCAGAAATAACAGGTACTGGACCATTGCTTAGAGATATTTCCAATGAACTGAGGTAATATGAAAGAAGGTGAGCCACAACTCGTAACGGCAGTGAGAGGTTGTGTTTTCAGAATTCCTAGGTGGGAAAAAGTACTTGAAAAGTACGTGATGCTGAACTTGATATCTAATATATACAGTGAGGGACACAACAGTGTAAATGCTGGGCATATTCCTTTTTGATTCCCTTTTGGAGGATGACAAATTCAATTTAATTCAGATTTTAGTCAATATCACTCCTACTTCCTGGATTTCGATTGGTGGCAGACGCGTGGGGATAGATCTCTTGTTAGCTGAGCTGCAGCTTTTCAATTCCACCAAGTCCACCACACAGTTTTGTCCCTCACACTAAGGCATACATAAAAAGTCATTCTTTTTTATTTTCCTTTCATCGTCAATCCTGGATGGACGCTTTTGGAGGAGTTCTCGATCATGTCTAAGCATGTTTGAACTGGAATAGCGCCCAATTCGGTATTCACTGGCTCCGGCAACTCATAAATGCAGGCTGACTCATATTTGTACACCACCAGCCTCCGTTTCCAGTGTTGTCACGAGTTTCATTTATTGGATTAAGGCCTGGCGACTATGCTGATCATTCTAGGATCCCGATTCCGTGGTTCTGGAACGACTGACGGTCCAGCCGCGAGTTGTGTTTCGAATCCTTGTCCTGTTGAAACACTACCTCTCCCGCTTCTAGCTATTAATACTGCATTGTCGAGAGCAATGCGTTGTGGAGGATGCTCGTATACAGCTTATACAGTCGTACACAGTCCGAAATAGACACCGATGTACTTATGTAGGCTATAAATTGCTTAGTGTAGGAGACGTGAAGTGACGACATTAGTTAGATATATTACTGCATAATTAAGCTTGAACTGTAATGGCTGCTGAAATCATTCCGGTTTTCTTAATTAATAATACAGAAGTGTTGTTCTGGGACAGTCTTGATGGTGCATGGTCATCATGAACAAAATTTCCCATTTGAATTTTTTTTCATCATTGCTGAGTAACATGACCTGAGTATGTTGAATGCCTTTGGCACATATCGAAGTACAATAGGTTATCCAAAGAAAGGACAGACTCACGTGAAACAACTTCGCCTGCGTCAGCATTGCTTATATGTTAATTAAAAATACGCTCTGGTCCAGCTTTAACCCTTTGTGGTCCAAACTCATCTCCGGGATGAAATTGAAGTTTTATAACTTCAGTTTGGTCCTATCACATCCCCAGGATGAAAAAACTTACACGCAATCTCTCAGGTCCTATATCATCCTCAGGATGCGACGCTATGTTTATTTAACATCGTTACTCACGTCCTTTATTGAAACCGCGCAGTTATTGTTTGCATAAAGCCAGTTTATCCGGGGCACCTCCGTCGAGAGCATTGAGTCAAAGTTGTCGCGGTATGATAATTTTGCTGAATGGAACAGTGCAATTCTTTAGTGTGTATATAGGCGTTATTTTTACTTGATCAGACGCCTAGAAATTACTCAACTGAAATAGAAATAATTAAACCTCATTCGAACCTATTTAAAT